CTATGTTGCTGATTAAATAAAATCATATGGTTCTGACTGCATATACAGAAAGCAGCCCTTTAAACCATTCAGACTACGAACACAATAGAGACAATCAGATGACTTATTACCCCGCGATAATAACTCAATAGTCCATGGAAAAACCTTATTGTCATGACGGAAGGTAACTTCTTGACCCACATGCAAAAACATGTTTTTACCGATAATCAGTAAAAGATGTTTAATATAAAGCACAACAACAGTACAGATCAACTGTGTTCTTGGGGGAGCGGCAAATGGAGCGGGCTGGAAGAGAGAATGAGCGATGAGTTCAAGGACTGTGGGATGTTTGAGTTCTGAACGAGCGGCAACGGTCTTACTAGGTCAGGCGGCAGGCAAGCGGGGGTGGATACTGGGATTTCCCGGGGTGGTTTCGGGTATGGGGATCTGCTGCGGAACCAGCTGGTGTTTTGGGAAAATCCAGCGGACGGCGTTGGAGGGCGGACAGATACGGACCTCAGCTCACCGGGGCAGATCGAGGTAGGCAGCCAACGAGGGATAAGTACGCCAGGTACAGCCAGGAGCTCAAAAGCCTCGAGTGGTCGGACCACGACGTCACGAGGGAGTAGTCTGAAAAACGAATAAACAAAACCGGGGTCACTGGGAGGTTCACAAGGAATCAATAAACGCTATGATGATGGCCTGCAGTACCATTACTGGTTAACACTCTGACATCGATGTGTTTGCTGACTCCACTCTTAAGCCTCTGCGGAGATGAGACAATCTCCGACAGGTGTGAGGATCCCAGGTCACGCCCAACAGAGATCATCCACCAGGCGGCCCCTGGTGGAAGGAGCGAGAAGTAGCAGCAAAACAACCCGAGCACCCAGGATCACCACACTTATAAGCTTGTATTAAAGCAGAAAGTACGGCGGCCACCGTAAAAAAGGCTTACAGTATCAATGATGCCGCATGAACTGATNAGTAGATTATTGCGAGGGGACGCAAACGTTTTGCGAGGGAACGCAAAAGAAAAAAAAAATCCCCATGTCCTCTGGAGGGCTCCGTAGAATAGAAGTTGTTGGAGCTATTTTTTCTTCATTTCTTTATCCATTTGAATTTTGTTACTTTATTCTTAAATTTATATTTTTTGTATTATTTACAAAGTTTATTTGTAGGTTGATAATTGTTGATTTTTTTTATTTTTTGTTTTATTATTTTTCTTATTTATTTTCTAAATTTAGACAGGAAGTAATGTGGGTCAGTCCACTTTCTATAAGTGCAGGGGTGAAGGACCAGCAGGCATTTGGGTTTGGGGCCGATGGTTTTTACCAGAGCAACAGAGGTAGCATGAGAACAGAGGAAAGTTTGAACTCTGTAATTGTTTGGTGAAAGAGGAAAATAAATCACCAAGAACAATCAATAAGTTTGGACATTGAACCTTCTTTTGCCTGTGTCCAGAAACATGACCCCAGTCCCTCAGTAGTGGCTTGGTGGAACTTTTTTTGGATGTTTGGCTTGGCAAACAATCAGAAGTGGTTCTGTCTAGTTTGGTTCTTCACCTGTTTATCAGCTTTATTGTGTCTTTACTGTGGCGCACTGCAGCCGCTGCAATTCATAAAAGTTAAACAAGCGACAAAAACTGAGCTAATCCCCTGTGGTCGCAAAACGTGGTGATATATATAACAGCCGTCAAACTACGGCTCCTACAGCATATTTAAAATAAAACGATTGACCAATTGTCATGGAAACTGGCATAAGGTGGTGAGATCTTTCCAGGTGCACGCAGAAAACGGAGCAAAGGCCTGAGAAATAACAGTAATCTTGTATATTGATTACTGATGATTAAAAGATGAATAAAAATACATACATATGTAATGATTGGAATGGTCTGTAATGTCTGTAATAAAATATATGTTCTGTATTCTTGATCTGTAGTAACAGTAATAACTTGATTGTTGTATGTTGATTATTGATTAGAAATGGTAACGGCTTGAGTTACAGAATAGATAAGTGATGAAGAATAATACTGAGAGTTATAAGTTGATACAATGACAAATTTATAATGTTTTATAATAAATTACAAATGAGATGACTGAAGATTTGAGATTGTGAGAAATGAAGGCAGGTTCTGTTCTCAAACTGTCGCAATTAGTACACTGAGCTAGGCGGGGGTGCTGGAAAGGCTCAAAAAGGGAAGTAAGTTACGAGAAATGGCCTCAATGGCCAGATGGCCAGTGGAAAAGGGAAGTACCGAAGAGAGTTGCTGCAATGAGTCACGAAAGAGATGATGGTTGGGAAAGGTTGAGGCTTTCCACATACTCATCGGAACGTTTCAGAAGTCACGTAGAACTCTCCCATACACAACCATGGGCTGAGAGGGTTTAAAAACCAGCAGACAGGGGAAGAAACTGTTCTTTGTCCGCGGCGCTGAAGGAGAGCCAACAAGAGGACGCAGATTGAAGACCAGCAGAGGACCGCACCCTGGAACCAAGGGGAAGTTGAGACTTCACGCCGCTAAGAAGGGACAGATCCATCTACCCCCAGCCCTGGTTCCTGATTCAACCAATCGCTCTGCCTCAACCCAACGATCCCCATCCTACTGCAGCAGACTTGGAGAAAAGACAAAGGTCATTAATTGACGAAGATCTGGACGTTTGAAGGACAACGGACAGTTCTGCTTTGCTTCTATTCTGAAAGGGGACTTTGCTCCATCAGGACAAAAGACTCTGACCAAGGACATCTGAAGATTTCTGCTGCCGGGATCAGTTGACATCTGGGTGTGAGTTGACCTGCCCCCAAGAGCCTCGCTTAGTTAAACTAGTGACACAGGATAGGGATAGAAATGAAGATAGGTTGTAATTGATTTAAGTTGAATTTATTGTCTTATTGCAAATTTGTCATCTCTGAAAGTTAATCTGCTTGTCATTTATCCCTGCTAAAGCTTGCTTAATAAATTGCATACTAAAAATTCCAGTGGAACTTGTGGACATTGAGATTAATTGAGTCATTTGATTATCGTAGATTTCCCTGATTATAGTAAAACTAACATACATGATTCTAGAGATGTGGTGGCTTCGTACTTTCCTTTGGTTAGTGTGAAAATAATGACCCTGGGACTTAAGTCTAAGTCACTAAATCTAATCTAGCCGTAAACAAGTGCCGTTATTTTAGGAAAAGAGCTACCGTTAACAGGAGTGGTTGTTGAAGCTATGCAGTGGTGAGGGCTACTCACCTGACTGTTTCTCAACTGAAAAGGGTCATAACTTCTGGATTGTAGGTAGTTAGAGCTAGACGAGTCTTTTCCGTCACCAGTTTAAATAGAATATCTCTTGTAAACCGACTCTGAGGTAAGACCCGGGTTTCAGAGATTTTCCGGACCTGTTAGACAGAGAACTGGTCAGGTCAGTAGTCAGTCGAATGAGTGGTGAGATAAGGGCGGGGCTGACTATTGCGAAATAACACAATATAAATAGAAATTCGCCCCTTCTTGCATCTTGACAGAACTAACAGAAACTAAACTGTTTATAGATTTTTATCATGGAGAATTTATCAAACATCAGTTTTCTAATCTTTATTTTAAGTTGTATTTAATAGATATAACTAATAACAAATGGTGGCGCTACTAATATTTTCGTGTCAGATTTCTCCTTGTTCTATATTGGGATAAAATGGTTTTCTGGACACAATGAATCACATAGTGACCAGTCCAGTAATGCATATCAATTAGCAGCAGTATGAAAGACGTAAAAATAATTAACTATACTACATTAAATAAATACAAAATAAATGTTTGGCAGTTAGTGTCAACTGGGGATGTCGAAGTAACCATTCCTCCCACAGTCTTTGCATGTAGCCTCTGACTAGGGTTACTTGAGTAGTAGCATTCCAACAGTGCTTATCAATGTCTCTCATGGCATGAGGTAGGCTATATAGCTCCAATGGTCTTTCCTAAGGACCCACACTGGATAGCTCAATTTCACTGTTGTAACTGTTTGCCCCAGCCTGGATTCGAACCCGGGTCTCCCGGGTGGAAGACTGGTGACTTACCCACCCTTTCCTTGTGACCTCATCGAGGTTGCCATTTGCTTGTGGTATTCCCAGGTATTCCCAAACCATCTCGATTGGATTCAGGTCCGGTGACTGTGGAGGTCAGGTCATCTGGCGCAGCACCCCATCACTCTCCTTCTTGGTCAAATAGCCCTTACACAGCCTGGAGGTGTGTTTGGGGTCGTTGTCCTGTTGAAAAATAAGTGATGGTCCAACTAAATGCAAGCCGGATGGAATAGCATGCTGCTGCAAGATGTTGTGGTAGCCATGCTGATTCAGTATGCCTTCAATTTTGAATAAATCCCCAACAGTGTCACCAGCAAAGCACCCCCACACCATCACACCTCCTCCTCCATGCTTCACAGTGGGAACCAGGCATGTAGAGTCCATCCGTTCACCTTTTCTGCGTCGCACAAAGACACGGTGGTTGGAACCAAAGATCACAAATTTGGACTCATCAGACCAAAGCACAGATGTCCACTGGTCTAATGTCCATTCCTTGTGTTGTTTAGCCCAAACAAGTCTCTTCTGCTTGTTGCTTGTCCTTAGCAGTGGTTTCCTAGTAGCTATCCTACCATGAAGGCCTGATTCACACAGTCTCCTCTTAACAGTTGTTGCAGATATGTGTCTGCTGCTAGAACTCTGTGTGGCATTGACCTGGTCTCTGATCTGAGCTGCTGTTAACCTGCGATTTCTGAGGCTGGTGACTCGGATGAACTTATCCTCCGCAGCAGAGGTGACTCCTGGTCTTCCTTTCCTGGGGCGGTCCTCATGTGAGCCAGTTTCTTTGTAGCGCTTGATGGTTTTTGCGACTGCACTTGGGGACACTTTCAAAGTTTTCCCAATTTTTTGGACTGACTGACCTTCATTTTTTAAAGTAATGATGGTCCCAACTCCATTTATAAGGCAAGAAATCCCACTTATTAACCTGACAGGGCACACCTGTGAAGTGAAAACCATTTCAGGTGACGACCTCTTGAAACTCATCAAGAGAATGCAGAGTGTGTGCAAAGCAGTAATGACAGCAAAAGGTGGCTACTTTGAAGAAACTAGAATAAAAGGCGTATTTTCAGTTGTTTCACACTTTTTTGTTTAGTACATATTTCCACATGTGTTAATTCATAGTTTTGATGCCTTCAGTGTGAATCTACAATGTCAATAGTCATGAAAATAAAGGAAACTCATTGAATGAGTAGGTGTCAAAATCTGTGGTCTGTACTGTATATATATATATTTGTATAAATATACAATGATCTGTGTTAGTTACTGCCATTTAGCACTGAGGACAAAAAAATGATCGTTGATCATTTACAATGTTGTGTTGCAGTAAAAGATGTTTTTCACATCAATGATTCAAAAAGTGCATTTTATAAAAACCTGATTGTCGAGTTTGTAGAAGATTTTGCATTACTTTCATTAGAACCCCTTTTTCCATAAATACCCTTCCCAAACCACAGCCAATGCGGTATTTTGTGTTACCACTCTTGCTTCAGAGTATGCAGCCTCAGTTAGTAGCATCAGCCGTCCCATGGACTGATGAGCCGAAGAACATGGCTAAATGAAGTCAGAAACGTTTTGAGAAGGTCCTCAAAGGTGTGATGGATCAAATCAGCACACACTTAGAGGTCATAGGAGGTGATGATGGAGATGATGATTGTGATGGTGGTTATGACGATGAAAAGGAGGAAGACAAAAAAGATGACATCCACACCTGTAACAAGGCGGCCTTTTGCGGCTGGATTTTACAGTGAGGAAGAGTAGTTGAGGCAGAGTCAGGTGGAAACAGCAGTGGGTTTATTCTTCTTACAGCATCAACACACAATAATTTCACAGGTGAAACTACAGGCTTAAATAGTCCCAACTGTGACGGACCCAACCCCTCCAATTCACAGGGGGATCTCAATTAACCAATCTCTACCTATTTAAATAAAATACCTTTTACTAAATATAAACATTTACGTTTTATAAGTATTTTATGTTTTATCTTACATCAAATGAAATGCCACAAAAACCCATAACAGATCCCCCCCCCACACTTTTCAATGGCCTCTCCCGGAACCTATAAATGGTGTCTGGACCCCTGGGGTAGTATTTGTCCAAACACCCTGGAGAGGACACAGAAAAGACAGGTGAGTCACTCAATATCAGCACTCCACACCTAACAGATTATGCACAAACATTTGCTCAGTTTTACCCACCAGTAGCTCATTGCTCTGAGTAACAATTATCCTCCCTCCACAGGCAACCAGCTCACTTCTCAATGAGGAGCAGCTGTGCAGAGCCCAGAACAAAAGGCTACATGCTAATTACTAAAATACTCAATAAATACAATTAAAACTTCTCGTGTGCAAATTGTTATTTATGTGCAAATCTCTGCTTAAAGTGCAGTGCTAAATAAAGTGCTTGTTAATAAAGTGTAAAAAGTGCTTTTAAAGTGCTATACAGTGACTTCAATAAAAACAGACCCAGTAATGAAGCTCTCTTCATTACAGTCATAAAGTGTCATTCGGTAAATTATGACTCTTTTAATACAAAGTTGACATTATTCAAAATGTCTTTGTTATGACAACCAAGAAATCATTACTGTTTAAACTTTACCTTTAATAACATAAAGTTACGTAATTTTTAAAGTGCAATCACTAATACTTTTATAACAAATTTATATCAGTAATGATTTCTTGGTTAATGTCAAGTTGTCATAACAAAGACATTTTGAATAATGTCAACTTTGTATTAAAAGTGTCATAATTTATCAAATGACGCTTTATGACAACAGTCATAAATATTCATGAAGGCTTATTCATGTTCATGACAGGTGTTATGTCATGTTTATGACTTATTCACCCCCCTTCAAATAAAGTGTTACCTAATAAAGTAATATAGCAGCCCATGGACATAAGAAGTATTGGAATCATGAAAATGCACGGGTGAGCAAATAGGATTAAAAATATCCGCTCTGCTCATCTTTAAATCAAACAATTATCTACGTCATCTGAGCGAAGCAGTTGGCTAGTTATCCACATCAACAATTCAGTTCAGTTTTTAATTCAGTTTATTTCTGTAGCGCTAATTCACATCGTATTACTATAACAACCTATAAAAAATGGCTAATTCAAACAGAAATATTCCAAGTCAGGTGCACACCTGACTCTACTTGTCAGTGCAGTCAAGTTGAGTTTATTATTCAAATATGTTTGAACAATTTGAAAGTGTGTAAGCTATTTGATTGCTGTTTACGGAAACAGCCGAACCTGGCCGAAAAGACACAGGCGACGAGAAAGAGGGTGCGTTTAGCAATGATCAGCAGACGCTCATCAGCTCCTCCGCCTAGAACAGGATATGCCTCAGTGCGTTTCCCATCTGCGTCCGAGTTTATTTCAAATTATTGGAGCAAACTTTACCGATCTGGAAGAATTCTGACGAAATTCCAGTTCTACCTTTTCCTCTTTTGAAAACGGACAGAGAACGCTGAAGCATGGTGAGTCAAACATTTTTGTTACACAGTAACAGTAGTCAGAAGCGCATAGTGTAATTTGTTAGAGTTTACACGCTGCGTGTGGGAGATTTAGAAATCTGAGCAGCCTGAACTGCCTGAATACACAAAAGGCGCAAAATAAACAGAACTGCGGATGTGGCTATAGGCCAGTTGTCTAAGGTAAACTTTATGTCGGACACCTTATACAAAAATGTGCAATTAGAATATCAGATTTATCCAGAGGTGGGTAGAATACCCAAAAATTGTACTCACGTGAGAAGCAATACTTCAATATACTCAAGTAAAAGTAAAAAGTAGCCATCCCAGAAATGACTCAAGTATAAAAAGTATTCTGGAAAAATGTTACTTATGTACTGAATAATTTATCATAACATCAAGTTTAATGTTTAAAATTATGGGCAAATTTTAATATTTTATAGACTAAAATGAAAAGAATTGATTTATATATATAAAAAAAGTCAATAAAAAATCAGGCAGAATAAACACCTTTCCAAATTAATTTCTTGAAATAGAAGACCTACTAAACTAATATTTACTGTAGGATAATTTATACTGTATGTATATGTTAGAAAAGGGCAAAAACATATCCTCATTATTGGATATGTTTTCAAATGCAACTGAGCAAC